TATATATATATATATATATATTCTCAGACATTACATGTCTTTGGAATTTTTGTGTTGGATTGTGGCATTGGGCAAAATGGGCCATTTATCCTGTTTTGGATTTTTTTTTTTGGTTATTGAGTTTAGGTAATTTGAATTTGATTTTGCTCTAATTTCCTAAATAACCCATATTATTCTGATTTCTCATACACCGTAGGCCTACAAGTGGACCGAGGGTCTAGTAAAATAAGCTCATTTTACGTTTCTCGGCATTTCAAACCACAACTTACTTAAAATTCCCTGAAGCGTGATTTGGATCCACATACCGTACCTTAAATCGTATCAAGGGGCATCAACAACAGTACTCAAAATTTTGCCTTTTTTTTTTCTTTTTAAATTTCCTGTTTACTAATACTGCCATTCGTAATCACGACATGAAGTATTGCCATGAATGTTTATGAGCACTTTAAATCTAAAATCTGGGTTTTCGTTTCTCTACATGTTGACTTCACCAGTCGACATTTCTGTTGCTTATATGTAGGATTACATTCAAATTCACCATGCTATAAGACTTAACAGGATTAACGTTTTCAAAGTCACTAACAATACAAGGACAAAATTTTGATGAGTTAATTAAGCAGGAGTAAAATTGAAAAGGAAAAACAACGGCGTCTTTCTAAAGTTCTCCACAAAAATGTCTTGTAGTGATCCCAGTCTTCAAACATCATCACTACTGAAAAAAAAGGAGGGAGAGAGAGAGTTATTAAGCACTACTCATTAATTAGACTATATTATTCTTTTGTCTACAGAGAGAGAGAGAATTAAAGAAAATGCAAATATTTTCCATACCTTAGGTGGACGCATACCATGTAAGGAAGCTACAAACTGTTGTCAACGGGTAGAGCTAGAAAAGGCTTGAAGGTCATTATCAGTGCAATAACCTCAATAACATTTAGAACGAAGAAAACCATATGATCACCTGCAATCATTCAAAACAAGGATGTGAAAATGCGTGCTTCACTTAAGAAAAATAATTTAGTGGTTATATTAAACACAACACCTTTAACAAGCCCAACAAGGAATAAAAAAATAAAATAAAATAAAAATAAAAGAACAACTCTGCTATTAGACCATCTCTAATATAAATACTAATGCCAATGCTAACAGTGCTCTAATGCATAACGTTATTTCAATTTTCTAGAAGTTACTTTTTGGTTTCGGTACTTGTAAAGTAAACTTTTAACTTTTTAAATAATTGAAAGGCAAAAATTTGACATATGTTAGACTTGGTGCTAAATTACCCAAGAATCGCATATGCCAAATTCAGCATAAAATTGGCACTACATTGGAGAGTAGTTTTCCAACCCAAAAGTTAAGTTCATTGCAAGGAGGGTTTTTCATGCAAATCTTACTTTACTTCCCTAGTTGATTTCCCAGATTTCGAGGCCTATAGTTTCATTTGGAAGTCTAGTATCCCCTATAGGATTAAAGTTTTTGCATCGCTGGTTTTTCATGGTAAAATAAATACTTGTGATGTAATCCAAAGGAGGAACCCCTACTTGACAATATCCCCTTCTTGGTGTGTTCTTTGCAAAAAGAACAGTGAATCTATTGATCACTTGTTTCGTCATTGTGAGGTGGCAAGTGTATGGAAGAAGCTATTGAATGGAGCTGGGTTCATTTGGGTGTTTCCAGAACATTGCAGATCGTTGATGGTGGAACATACGGTGGGGCTTAATTCCAATAAAATGGCCAGAGTTCTTTGGAGATGTATGGTGCTCTCTCTTTTGTGGTCCATATGGATGGAGAGAAACTCGAAAGAAAGGAGATAGAGTTAACAGATGTTTTCGAAAGGGCGAAATCTTTAGCTTCTTTATGGGCTTCAACAGATAAGGCTGTCGAGGAGTTCCCTTTTATCACTAATAATCATGAATTGGCAGGATGTCATAGGAAGATAGATTTCTTTAGACTCTTTGATGTTACTGTGTTGTATTCTTAGACCTACTTGTTGATTTTGCTCCGAGGATTTCTCATCCTCTTTCCTTGTAATTGATAATTATCAATAAAAGGTTTTTTCTTATAAAAAAAAAGTATTGGTGTTTGCTGCTAATTTTTCTCTCTTTCTACAAGTTTTGAATTTCTGGTTGTTCTTTTGCAACAAAACTCAGAAAAAGTTTCAACTCGAGTTACAACTTTATTTAAGTTCATGTTCTTTTGTAAAATTTAAGTTTGAACTCGAGTTTAAACTTGAGTTTGAACTCGAGTTTGGGGCTAAACTCGAGTTCAAGTTTCCCCTTCAACTCGAGTTCATAAACTCGAACTCAAGTTAATGAACAATATTTTTCCAGTCTTAAAAATGTCATAACTTTTTTCGTTTTAATTCTGATTGAGATGATTTTTTTTTCTATGCATTCACAACGAAAAGATGAATAAAACCTAACCCATATACCCTATTAAAATTTTTCATCACCATTGAGTTTTTATTAAAATACTATCTAAACACAAATTTAAGTTTTGACCCACCCAAACACAAACTCAAAAAGATTCTCAATTCAAATCATAAATCAAATGTGCACATCCAAACACAAACTTAAGTTACAACTTCAACTCAAGTTATAACTCAAATTCAACTCAAAATCATCACTCAAGTCACCCTAACTCAAAAATGTAAAAGAACAACCCTAGGGTCCAAGCATGATTTTAATAATACAGAGTTCTCCTTTGTTGCATTCATAATGATTTTTTTATGTGTTCCCATGGTATTGAGAATACAAGGCATTTGAATAACACCTTGTTGGGTGAGATTTAGATTACCTGAAAAATAAGGTAAAGTGAATCCCATGGGATTGACTTTCCCAAGAATGAAAAATTGTGATTCTTGTACCAAACATGAGAATCTACAAGAGTCTCATTTCCACTCTTAAGATTACTGCATATCAAGCCCCCCATTATGAAACCTGCAGCCCTTTGGTGGTCACCCAAGGTTTTAACACATACTTCTCAACCTATATTTATCTTTTCCCAGTAATGCTTCTCAACCAATCTTTTCAAATTCTTCTCTCCATCCAACTCTTTATATTTAGAATTCTCTTGTACCTGTCATCGCTATGGGAAACTCTTGCCCTATGCTGAAGGTCATACATACTCTAAGAAGGGTACACACTTCTCGGTCAGATTTCAACTCTACAGTTTATGAAGGATACTTTTATGAGCACTCATTTTTTAGGATAGTTTTCTTTCCCCCAATATTCTAATATCTTTATTTATTTCATGGCATGTATTTGTTATAAACTTGCAGTTTTTAAGTAATTTTCTATTTGGGGCCAAAGAAATCAAACTTGTAAATTAGTACAATAAAAATCTAATAAAACATGTCAGAATATAATCTAAGGTAAATGCAGAAGATTATCATAAGCACCATAAAATATTAAATAGATAATTATCAAGAAAGAATGACAATGTCAGTACTTTACCAGGAAGAAAGAATGCCTTTTGACGCTTCTGTGCCCAAGAAAATCTGCAAATAACCAAGAGAGACAAGAGTTTCAACTCCGGCACATCATACCAAGTTACAACTTACAAGACGCAGACATGGTTTGGATAAAGATAATGTATTTTTCTAACACAAGATCACCGAACTTATTTTTGCTTGTTCAGTATAATTTTGGTGGGACATGCATCAATATTACCTATGCTCAAGAAAATCACACGATAAAGCAAGCCTCATCTTAGGAAAAATTTAACAGAAAATCTCTAATCCATTCCACACACAAATGTTAGTTTAACAGATTAATCCATTCACGTGAGTAATACAATAACAACCAAACAGTAATAGAATGTATTAAAGGTAATGGATTTGTAAAGAAAAGTAACTGAATAAGAACGGGGATTACCGATTCCCTTTCTATGTTTATTTATCTATTAGATAGTGGAATGAGAAACAATCCAATTCACTTTCTAGTGTTTACTGAATTTAGGAATAAGAATATTATCATTGTAATTACTAAAATGTCCTTTTACACACTATAACTATTGGCTTATAATATGTGAAACTATCAAGGGTGTACAAATAAATTTGGCAAATTTTCCCACTAACTGGGAATCCATACGAAGGGGAGTGCAAGTACTTGCATTACCTTTCCCCATTCCGTATATTGTGTGAGGCCCATCAAACTACTATTCCTAATTTTGTAAGTAGACACGTGATTAAATGGAAAAGAGAAACACCCCTTCCCTTTCCCTTTCATGTGAAGTAAGCAAAATCTAATGCTAATACTTCTAGCTTCCTTCATGACTAAAATAATACTCACATGTGGCTCCAAGAACCAACAAAATTTAGATAAAGTAAAGGAAAGAAGAGTTTGAAAGTTCAAACCAAAAAAAAAAGGAAAAGAAACAAGTTTATTCAAGATAATACGTACACTGCACCTCCACCAGCAGGACCGACTGCTTTGAATAGAGACATGGCAGACATAGCTAACCCATTCGCAGCTCCTCTTTTCCTTTGGGTCTTTTGTACATTGGTATTAGAGATACAGTTGATAATAACACAGTTACTCAATGTTGATGGAGTGTCAGATTGAACAAAAAAAAATATGGAAAATAATTACATAGAAAATAAGACAGAAGAATTACCACAGCTCTGTTTTGTAGGAGAAACAATCCTGTTGTAATGGAAACCTGATAATGTTTAAACAATAAGCGTAAAAACCAGGTCCTGATTTAGAAAAAGTTAGATATTATCTATTGTCTATATTACACTAAAGACTTAATAAGAAATTATTTTGCAAAAATAAAAATTCACTTAATTTGACAGAGTTATAGATAATTCACTCTCGTGAAGGTTTTGGGAAGATGGGTGGGCTGGTGAAGAGTCTTTTGCTGTTCTTTTCCCAAACCCTTTTAGATTGTCAACCTTTCATAATCAGCATATTTCGTCTTTTTACATACCATAGGAAATGATTTTACTGTTTCTTGGAATTTTCACTTTAGGAGGAATCCTAGTGAGAGAGAGTTGGGTGAGGTGGTGGACCTGGTCTCTTGTTTGGAGGGGGGTGAGGGTCTGTGCTAGTTTAGAGGATAGATGGGTCTGGGCTTTGGAGGGGTCGGGTATGTTCTCTTGTAAGTCCCTTTTCAATTCTTTAGTTGATAACCAATCTTTTCCGGCCTTTCCTCATTTTTATTTTATTTTAAAGAAACAGAGATCTTTAATGATCAAACATAAAAGAGCAGGGAGAAAAAAGAGGAAGAGAATTCCTCAAACCACTCTGATCCAAAATACAGAGACAATCAAAAAATTGGGAAGGCCAAGAAACTAAACCAACAAACTACAGGAGAAGAGCTATAAATAAGGGGCCCAGCTCCTGAGAAAATCCGAAAAAACCAGTTTGCCAAATTCTTTATCCTTATAGACCCACAAGGAAGAACAATATGTAATCTTCTCCCATAGGACTAACACATCTTCTTCACAGTCTTCAAACACCCTACTGTTCCTTTCTAACCAGATGCCCCAAGGAGCAGCTAAAACTGTGACCCTCCACAAAATTGATCCCCTGTGGCTAAAACCAGAAGCAGGTGATTAAACAAGCAAATCTGCACAGTTCCTCGGCAAGACCCACACAACGCCTAACTCCTTTAAGAGACAAGACCATACACGATGAGAAAAGGGGCAATGGAGAAATAAATGATCAGTTGATTCACCATCATTCTTGCATAACGAACACCAGCCAAGAGAAATCATAAGAAGGGGATTTCTCCGCTGCAAAACCTCATGAGTGTTTAGCTTGTTGAGAGCTTGTAGCGAACAAAAGACCTGAACCTTAGTGGGGACTTGAGACTTCCAAATAATGCTATAAAAAGCAAAACGCGCAGCTGACGAGTCCGAGATCAGAAAAGTATAAAATGATTCTAGGACCAAATCCCTTCTATCTTGCAGTAGACCAATAAATCTAACACTTTCCACAAGTGCAATTAACTCAGAAACCTCCCTCAATTCCCTATCTGTCAGACTCCTAAAAACTGGAAATCCCACGAAATAGAACCACCTTCTTGAAATCTGGAGCCGGAAACAAAATTCGCAATTGGCTGACCATGGAGGGAAGAAATTCTACATAAAGCAGGGAATTTTGAACATAAAGATCAGTCAACGCACCAAACATCTTCCCAAAATCTGATGATCTCACCTAAGCCTACCTTCCATCTAACCAGCTTGAAAAATCCATGTGCAGCCGACTGAATTAATTTTTCAAGGGCATCTAAATGTGACTCTTAAAGCTGCCCCTGAGTCCCATTTATTTTCAGCCAACCCATATTTCCCTGTGATGACCTTGTGCCAAAGAGAATCAGGTTCTAACGGAAACCTCCATAACCACTTCGCCAACAAGGCTTCATTTCTCTTTCTGATGTTGCCGATTCCCAAGCCCCCAAATTCCTTTGGCCTACACACCTACTCCCAAGCCCCCAAATGGGAAGCATTATCATCGGAGTACCTCTCCCAGAGAAAATCACGCTTGAGCTTCTCAATTTCCTTCGCTACACCGACTGGAATTCTAAAGATCGACATGTAATAGATTGGCAAAGAAGATAGGACGGATTGTATGAGAAGTAGGCGGCCACCCTTCGATAAGAAGGCCTTTTTCCACCCATCCAATCTCTTTGCCACTCTGACTCATTATCATTTTGTTTGGAAAATCTCGGTTCCTACGAAAATTTAGGTTTTTGGTTGGTTACTAAAGAATTGAATGAAGAATATAATTCTTTTCATTGATTTAGAATAGTACAGAGGCTGAATATATATACAAGAAGGAGGCATGATCTGCAGCCTTATTCTAAGGAAATAACACTGATTTCTAGCCTAATCTGATCAAGAAAATATTTCTTGATTTCCTAAATTAACTAAATAAGGAAAGTTTGACAAATCAAGGCTAATCTACAGCCTGTCACAGCTGGAGTAAGGCTTTACAATCCAGAAAGTGATGCAGTCCAATCCGGATCTTCAACACTCCCCCTCAAACTGGGTAATTGATGTTAATCATACCCAATTTGATATTTAAATCCTCAAAGTTTGATCTTGGAAGAGCTTTGGTTAGAATGTCGGCTGTCTGGCATTTCGTTGGCGTGTATTGCAGCAAAATTCCTCCGTCTTTTATCTTCTCTTTGATGAAATGGCAGTCAATTTCCACATGCTTGGTCCTATCATGATGAACTAGATTCTTGGCAATGCGTATTGTAGCTGGATTGTCACAGAACATTTGTAAGGGCTCTTCATATTGGATTATGAGTTCCTTCAAGAGTCTCTTAAGCCACATTCCTTCGCAAATTCCATGTGCCATAGCTCTGAACTCAGCTTCTGCACTACTTCTCGAAACCATTGTTTGTTTCTTCCTTCTCCAAGTGACAAGGTTTTCCCCATATAAAGGTGCAATACCCTGATGTCGATCTTCGATCAGTAATTGAGCCTGCCCTGTCTGCATCAGTAAAGATTTCTATTATCATGTTTGTGTTCTTCTTAAAGTACAAGCCTTTGCCAGGAGTCATCTTGAGATACCTCAGAATTCGATAAACAGCCGTCATATGCTCTTTCATGGGATTATTCATGAACTGGCTCATAACACTCACTGAAAAACCAATGTCAGGCCTAGTGTGTGAGAGGTAGATGAGTTTCTGAAGAAATCGTGAATTTACTTCTTGAATTGAAACAATAATTTACATCCTAATATATAGGCTTAAGGGCTGGCATACCAGACCATCAAAATAGGAAACTGAATTCCTACAAATCAGGAATTCTAAATTAAATAATAACTACCCTAGATTACAATCTCCTAACTTCGGTAAGACTACAATTAAATAAAATATAATCTTTTCTAAATAAGGAAACTAACTAACTTAATCTTCCTAACACGTTTCCTTATTTCCACACTCCCCCTCAAGCTGGGTTGTATATGTTATACAAGCCAAGCTTGGAGTTCAACTCATCGAAACTGGCTCTTCGAAGTGCTTTGGTGAGAACATTGGCAATCTGCTGTTTTGTAGGAATATAACTGAGCTAAATGATTCCAGTGTTCACCTTTTCAGAGATAAAATGACGATCAATCTCAATATGTTTTGTCCTATCATGATGCACCGGATTCTTAGCTATACTGATGGCTGCCTGACTGTCAGTAAACATCTTCACAGAGGCTTGAACTTCAACCTTGAGTTCTCTTAACAATCTCTGTAACCACATTCCTTCGCATATACCAAGGGCAAGAGCTAAGTATTCCGATTCTGCACTGCTACGGGAAACCACAGCCTGTTTTTTGCTTCTCCAAGTGACTAGATCCCCCAAACATAAGAGCAGTAGCCAGTAGTTGACCTTCTATCAGTTTGTTCCCCTGCCCAACTTGCATCCATGTAGATTTCTACTTCACGGTTTTCACTCTTCTTGAAGAGTAAACCATGACCGGGAGTCATCTTCAAGTATCTCAAGATTCTATTCACTGCATCTAAATGATCCTTTGTTGGATTATTCATATGTTGGCTGACTACACTCACCGAATAAGCAATGTCAGGTCGAGTGTGTGAGAGGTAAATGAGCTTGTCAACCAGTCTTTGATACCTTCCCTTGTCAACTGGCGTACTTTCTTCACTTCGATTCATTTTCTTTGTAGAATCCATGGGCGTATCAATAGGTTTGCAGCCAAGAAACCCTGTTTCATTCAGCAAATCTAGGATATACTTCCTTTGGGATATAACAATTCCCTCTTTTGAACGAGCCACCTCCATTTTGAGAAAGTACTTCAGTGTTCCAAGGTCTTTGATCTCGAATTCAGTTGCCATTACCTTTTTCAGCCTAAGAATTTCTTTTGAATCATCTCCAATTAGAATGATGTCATCCACGTAGACTATGAGAATGGACATTTTTCCTCCTAATCCACTTTTAACAAACGGCCTGTGACCTACCTGACACTGCACGTACCCATTGTCTGTCAAGGTTCTAGCAAACCTGTCAAACCATGCACGAGGAGACTGCTTCAAGCCATACAATGACAATTTGCACACTAATTTTCGATTTGACCTGTTTTCTAGTCTAGGAGGTATGGTCATGTAGACTTCCTCTTCAAGGTCTCTATTCAAGAATGCGTTCTTGACATCAAGCTGATATAGTGGCCAATCTTGATTTACTGCCAAGGAGAGTAACACTCGAACTGTGTTTAGTTTGGCTACCGGTGCAAAAGTCTCTTGATAGTCAATTCCGTAGGATTGGGTGAACCCCTTTGCCACAAGTCTCGCCTTGAAACCTATCTACACTTCCATCAGCCTTGTACTTGATAGTGAACATCCATTTGCACCCAACCGGATTTTTACTTGGAGGTAATGGTGTCAGGACCCAGGTATTATTGTTCTCTAAGGCCCGAACCTCCTCTTCTATTGCTTTCTTCCATTCCGGCCTCATAAGAGCCTCCTGAATAGATTCAGGCATTTTGACACTATCCAGATTCGTGACAAATGCCTTGTAGGATGGAGACAGTTTTCCATATGCAACATATTTCTGAATTGGATGTTCAATGCATCCATGGACCCTTTTCCTATGAGCAATGGGCAGATCTGAATCATTAATCATAGGAGCATGATTATAAGGAGGAGAGGAATCCATACCATTGTGAGTGTCAGTTACAGTAGGATTCGGTTCTTGTGATTGA